GGGATGGGGGACGAGGAGAGCAGAGGGGGAGGTGAGGGTGTTTAGATAGGAGTCGCACATATCCTGATTCTGATGGGCCCAGTTAGCCCTCCAAAGGATCGCTAGAAATCAGTAAGAAATTCGTAGGTTGGAATTCAATGGTGAAGTGGTCTGTGGGAAGGAATTCCCACTGCCTCTCTGTGGGAAGGAGCCACGGTTTCGCCACTGCAGATTGTGTTGGTGGTCGAGTGTACACAGTTTCTGCCCCGGGTCCACCCATGTATTGCCAAAGTTTTCTATCAGTTGCATCCGCTTGGGATCTTCCATCACTTGTTTAAGTCTGGTCTTGAGATTTTTCCAGGCATCTTGGGTCCGAGCTGTTATGGTGTCGGCAATAGTGGATCTTGCCTGCCTGAATGAATCCGAATGTTTGCTGGTTTGTTTCGTAGGCGCATCTCATACGCCATGCAGCCATAAGGATTGCCAGCCTGGTGTATTGGAACAGGTTGAGCATAAATGGGCTCCATTCTGCTACTTCGGGCGGCAGCACTCCAAACAGGAGTGTCTGAGGACCCTACACAGACATATGTTGGTTTCCTGCAGATTGCCCTCTAATTGAATTTATTTACTATTACTTACTATCTAGAAATTAAATCCATTCTATCTATTCGAGGCGTTTCCCGCATACAGTGGAGTTTCCTATTTCTAGTCACTGGATCCTATTCCACAGCAAATCAGCTTTCCTTTTCACTCCCCTGTGTTTCTCCTCTTACCTCCCTCTTCCGTGCTCTCCTTTTTGAGTTTTTTTATTTTTTTTACTATTTAGCAGATCGTAGTGATGTCGTTTCTGCGATCGGACTTGCTTGGTCGTATGCACCATCCCCAGGGGCAAGGTCCCGCTAGCAAAGAGAACTGGATCGAGCGCCTGAGTCTGGACGGGTTTGAAGCAGAGATGCAGACTAGCAGATCGACCGCGATTTTCGGCACCTCTCCACACACACGTCCAGATTCAGGCGTTCAATCCAATCCTCTTTGGTAGTCGGACCTCGGCCCAGGATGGCATCACCATGCCGTCCTCCTTGTACCTGGTCCTCATTGTAGTTGTTGAGAGTACGTCCTCCCACGTATCTGGTCCGCTTTGTAGCTGTTGTGAGTGTATGTTTTCTCCCCCATCGCTCAATCGCCCCTCGCCCATCGCTCCACTTCTCGCCAAAAATGCGCATTGTGGATAGCGGGTGACTGCATTTTTCCAGTTTTTATACGGAAAGATACAGTACACCCGCTATCTTCCCAGATTTCCCGACTGCCACTGTCTTCGGCTGAGTAGAACGAACCGTCCTTGTAGCTGTACCTGGGAGGACTTCCAGTCCAGATACAGCAATTATAACCGTGCGTTCTATACGAGGGAAGATGGTAGAGCGCAATCCCGTTTCCTCTTCCTTCAGAATCGTCTCTCTCCTCTTCCTCCCATGCGCTACCGACTTCACTCGAATAAAACGTCCGGTCATTATAACGGAATTTGGGTGGGCAAACTGTCTGTCCAGATACATGGCGATAATGACCGAGCGAGCGTTCTATTCGGGTGAAGAGGGTAAAGGTGAATGCTGAGGTTGGGAAGGGGAGGGAGGGGCCTTGTGAGCATGGGGGGGGAATCAAAAAAAAGAGGGGGGAAAAAAAGATAGCCGTCAATATGGCGCCACTATGAGGAGGGATATATCGCATAAATGATGAAAAGATTCGCCACCTTCATGACGGCCGGAGAGAGTTTTTTTTTTTTTTTATCTGGTTCTTTCTTTTGCGCTCCGCAGAGGTGGAGCTTGCTAGGGTTTACCTTTCTCGGCCTTTTCAAGTGTAGTAGCTGTTCTGATCAGTTGTATAAAATTTATATGTATATAATATGTATATAATATGTATATAATACATATCGTCATATGTATACAATATATATAATATATATATACAATAATATATGTATAATATATGTACGAGTCGGTGAGACTCCGACGAAACAGTTTGTCACAGCCCCTCGTTTGTTGTTGTCCTCTTCTCCCTCCCTCTCTGCCTACGGGGAACCGGGACGGGCAGCTCAGTTTGACGATATATATGTTTTACAAATCAGTTTAATAATTATTTAATATCTGATCAGCGGTCCATCGGACCATTAAAAAATAAAATAAAAAACGTTTACCCTAGTGTGACATCAGAAAACGTTAGACAATACCTTTCTCGGCCTTTTGGCTAAGATCAAGTGTAGTATCTGTTCTGATCGGTTTAATATCTGATCCTAAAAAAGAAAAGAATAAAAAAAAAAGAAAACGTTAGACACGCAATCAACAATGATATCAGTAAAAATCCCTGTGCTGGTTTTTTTTTTTTTTTTTTTTTGGTCGTTCTGCCCTTCTTTCCACCCTTTGGAATTGCCAAGCTGTGAACATTTTTCCCTTTTTTTCCCTTTTCTTTTTAACCCCTCGAACTTCCCCCCCCCCCCGCCCCCCCCCAAAAAACATCAAAATGGTCTCCGACCTGTCAT